GAAAGACGTAAGCGAAAGACGTAAGCGAAAGACGTAAGCGAAAGACGTAAGCGAAAGACGTAAGCGAAAGACGTAAGCGAAAGACGTAAGCGAAACGCTTAAGCGAAAGACATAAGCGAAAGACATAAGCGAAAGACGTAAGCGAAAGACATAAGCGTAGACACAAGCGAAACGGCACACCTAAGCGAAACACCTAAGCAGGGAGACTCTTAACTGAGGCACGTAAGCAAAAAAAACTCATCAGCAGCACTTCGTACCTGGCTTGCAACATTGTCGGGTCAGACTCCAGGCTGTGCTCCGGAACAGAGTACAGCTGCGGACTCTTCTGCATGCGCACGAAGAGGTAGGTGTAACCCAACCACGTGACGGCGTCAGCGCGGTTCTGCACAGTGCCGAGCACCAGTTCCCCGATCAGCTTGTCCGGTAGATCCGCGATCATCTGGGACTCGATGGGGAGCTGCATGTTCATCAGACTCAGGTAGTACTGGAGCTCGCTGTGCTGGGTGATGATGATCCCGTGTCCCTCCTTCTCGTACCCCGGCCGCCCCGCGCGGCCCATCATCTGAAGCATGTCCAGGCACCCGAGCTCGTCCCACTTGCCCAAATCCGGCTTGTACACCTGCGTCCCCTTGATGATCACGGTGTGCGCGGGAAGGTTGACACCCCAGGCCAGCGTCGCCGTGCAGACCAGCACCTGAATCCGCTTGTCCGCGAACAGATCCTCGACGAGGGAACGGTCCTGCTTGGACAGCCCGGCGTGGTGGATGGCGAACCCGTAGGGCATGAGCTCCGACAGGTCCCGGGACTGCGCCTCCTGCGCCTGGTCCGCGAGAATCTCCTTCGTCGCACTGTTGCCCGCCAAAAACCGAGGCACCACGTCGTTCTCCATGGCCATCTCGCGCAACGTTTTCGCTGTGCGCGCCGTTTCCTTCCGGCTATGCACGAAGATCAGCATCTGGTTCTGCCCGGCGTTCTTCACGACCTGCTCGAAGCACACCTCGTTCATCGTGTTCATGCGCCGCACGGCTTTTTTGTCCGTGACCCCGATGAAGGTCTGCTGCAGCGGGCAGGGCCGGAAGGAGTTGTCAAACTTGAACAACCCCTTTTCCGTGACCCGCATAAACGCGGCCACGTCGGTGTAGTTCGGGAGCGTCGCGGACAAACCCACCAGCCGAATCGGCTCCTGCGTGCGCTCCACCTGTCGCAGCGTCCGCGCCACGATCGCTTCCAGCACGGTGCCGCGCTGGTCGTGCAGCAGGTGCACTTCGTCGATGATCACCAACCGCACCAAATGCATGTTCGCGCGGCTGTCCCCGGATTTTCGCGTGATGATGTCCCACTTCTCCGGCGTAGTGACGAGAATTTGCGTTTTTGCGATCTGCGATTTCGATAAGGTACTGTCCCCGGACAGTTCCCCCACGGACAGCCCGTACTTCTCGAACCGTTGGCTGAAGAACCCGACCAACTGCTGCACCAGCGCCTTCATGGGCGCGATGTAGACAATTTTGAAAGCGTCCTTGTCCACCGCCACCTCGTCGGTGTTCAGCTCGTCGACGCGTTTCAAGTGCATCATGATCACGTTCATCATGGTGAGCAACGCAATGTTTGTCTTTCCCGCACCGGTGGGCGCGCACACCAGCATGTTTTCGTCGAACTGCTTGAACGCGATGGGAAACACCTTACTTTGCACCGGGTTCAGTCGCTGCACGATGAACTTATCCTTGTCGTCGCGGAACACGTTCTGCGCGAACTTCGGCAGTTCGGTGATTTCAATCAGCTTAATGTCGCCGTGCTCCGCCGCGGCCGGGGCCGGAATCGTCACCTCCTCCCAAGCTTTCTTCATCTCACGCTTCGCACCCTCTTTCAAGTGACCTGTTGTTTGGAGGGTGATAGTGCGACAGGTTGATCTAAAGTAACTCTGGCTTATTTTCTGTGAATGAAGGGAGCGACCTACGAGGAACAACGAAGATTCGAGTGTACTGTTGGATGGATACGAAATAATCATCTTCTTGTAATGATCTACAAAACTGCAAAATCAAGCTCAACATTTAGTACATGTCGAATTGGTCATGGTGTGTCCCGCTTTGTGAAAGCTGGCCTGTTCCAGATCGATGACCCTGCTGGGCTGGAGTTTTTTCGCGGCGACCGCGCCCGTGGCGCTGTCCTGCACGGTGGCGATTTCGGCGTCTTCCACCCCGTCGTCGCGTTTTTTCTTCATCAGCACTCTCGCCTCGTTTCGCAGGCGCGTGACCTCGTCCTTCTCCTTGTCGCGCTTCGCCTTGGACTTGTCCAACTCGGCCAAGACCGCCTGGCCCTCCTCGGACTCTTTCATGGCCTCCAGAATCTGGGCCTGTTCCTCGTCCGTCTGGGCCTGCTTCAGCTTCGTCATAAACAGGATTTTGCTCCGATTCCGGACCAGTTTCTGCAGAAACTCAAAGTTCTGGAACTCCAGCAGCTGCACGAGCTTGTTTTCCAGGAGCTGCACGTCCTGGATGGCCAGCGCCTGGAGAATTTTCTTCTCCAGTTCCGCGGCCTTCTCGTGGTCCTGGTTCAGAACCTCGGATAAGACTCTCTGCAGCCAGTGGGCGTCGATAACGGACACGGGCAGGTCCTCGTTCTCCTGCTCCTTGTCTTCGTCGTCGACCTCGTCGTCGACCTTGATGCCTGTGATGTAGTCGCGAGTAGGTTTTTTATGCAAATACTTAAGTGTCAAAAATTCTTTTTGTTTCACCTTGATTTTACAAACTTCGAAAGGCTGTTGCAATTGATTCAAGGATATACGAAAACTGCTGATTACCTCTGTCTTCCGCTTGGAGGAGGTTTTCCTCCCTGTTCTCGCTATCATCGTCGCTGCTTTCGGTAAGCTCACCGACATACTTCTCGCCGTCGTCAGAGTCTTCCTCTTCGAAAACCACTGCTACACCGGTGGCGTCTTCTGCGCGATCTTCTTTCACTTCGTCCTTTGCCTGTTGTGATTTTGAAGGAATGCATGGATCGAAGCAAGCATGTAGTTGTGCAGTGCGTGTGGAAATCATAGATGTTTATGTTTTACGACAGATTTTACGTCTACTACGAACGGGCCACCGCCGATAATCTACGAACAATTTCAATTTAGAATTGCAGTTTAATTTTTCATTTTGTTCAACGTCCGTAAAAACAATACGTCGTCGGCCCCGTAGTCCGTGACTTGCTTGGCGAGTCGGTAAAGCTCGCCGAAGAATTCGTTGGTGACCGCGCCCAGAACCTCTTCGACGTTGCGCTTGCGTTGCGCGTCAAGGCAATTATCCGCCTTGATGGCCGCTAGAATTTCGTCCGCCGCCCCCGCAAGCACCTCGGGGCTCTGGTCGCCGAGCACCGTCGTCATCACGTTCAGCAGTTCCTCGTAGACCGCCTTTGTGGCGGTGGTGGTGGGCTTGTAGGAAACCACCTCTGTGACATCCTGATCCAGCACGGTGGCGCCTGAGGAGAAAGTAGATTTTTACATGCGATTCACTAGAAAAACCACGCGGAAAAGCAAAAAAACATTCGATAAAGGAGGGCGTCCCCGCTTGAACTTCATCGACCGACTGATGAAAAGAAAACTAAAACACCATACGTAATGAGCCTCAAGAATACCTTTTCTCAGCTCTAATTTCGCTTTTTTCCGATCTTGTTTGTCGCCCTTGGCCTCCGCGTTTGGATCCCGTGCGCGCTTCTTTTTCACGTCTTTTAAATGGTCCAGCTGTCGCTTGTCGCCGCGGGCCAGATCGCCCATTTTGTGCAGGTTGTAGTGCCGCAAGGACTCCGGCTCGCCGGTGGGCTCATTTGCGGAGGGGGCAGCGCCTTCGCGCTGCAGCACCAAATTCGAGTTGGTTCGGTACTCGAACCGCTTGAACTTGGCATGCTCTTCAGCCATTTCGTCGCTGTTCTTGTTGGGAGTTGTAGTGAATTGCTACTGGTTCTTCTGTTTTTCTCGAGCTCAAGGACCCGAGCACGACGACCCTCGCAACAGTCGGTATATTTCACTAGCGTTTTAAAAGCTTGTCGCAGGATTCTTCGTCGACGCCCGTGATTATGCGGCGGCTTCTTGTCATGTTGCTTTTTCTTGGAAATTCAGCGTGGTAAAGGATATTATACTACCGGCTTCTTCACTCGAGATAGATAAAAGTCTTTGTAAACTTCTTGATACTCAGAATCAATCTTTACACGAGGTGATACTCCACGATCTAGCTGCTACGGGTCGCCGGGGAGACGACGTCGACGCGCCAGCGTGCTTTCACTTAACTCACGGGGGGCAGAGAAAAAGTGACACGAAAAAATTACTTACTTTCACTGCAATGGGTTGTTCTGTAAAGAAAAAAATCGGATCGAAATTGAAATTGAAACATGCGAGGCAAACATACCGGAACAAAGCCAGGATGCGAAGGATCAGGAAGCGCAGTGATCTTCTTGTCTTCCGGTCGAGATCTTACAGTAAGTTCTTCCTGTAAAATGGCATTGCAAAATCGATCTTTTTCTCCTTCAAACGAGATCAGGTTGCCGCGAAATGCTGAACTCCGTATTACTCTATGCTTCGTGGCTTAGCAAAATTCACTTCGGAACGGTTTTCATAGGTCGGTTGTAGAAAAAGAACATCAGCGTATGTAGGGCCTTGAAATTTGACGCCATGCCCGGGCATGGTAAGAAAGAAAGAAAGACTATCTCTTTCAGAACAATCGCAGGCACTATCTGTTCGCATTTTGGCATGATACTGTTTCGAAGTCCTCCAATCATTTTAGTGTTTTCTATTGAGCGCGAGCTGTCACTGATCTTAATTCACTCTTTACTAAATTCAAGAAATGACGTCAAATTTTTTCATCCGCACGCGAAATTCTTTCTGATCGCAAAACGTCGGGCTTCGGCATCGAGATAATAAACGTTTCTGCCAGCGCGTCGTGCCGCAGCTTACTCACAGCCCGATACTGTTCACTCGCGCCCATTGCCAGAAACGCGTCGCGCGATGGATACTCCGCAATTATTACTTGATCGAAACTGCGCTCCGGAGCGCGTCGCTTGAACGATTCCCCGCTCCGTGCACGCTCCCAAGTTCCCCAAACCTTGGCGGCCAGTGTGCTCCGCGCGCCAAATTGCGAGAGCACGCCCTTCCTGCCGCCTTGCGCTTTCGCGTATTGTTGGTACAGCGACCGCTTTTCCGCGTCGTCCTCGAAGCGCAGCAGGTTGACGTGCCACAAACTACCCCGCCCGGGCTTTTGTTCTCCCAATTCCACATCCGAAAGAAACGCCCTTAGCTGTTCGAGAGTCGCCGCACTTTTCCCCACCTGATTTCCCGGAGTTCTGTCTCCCACCAAACCGCTGGGGATTTCTGCGTTCAAGACCTCCGCAGGCTCCGCTGACCAGTTCGTGATTGTCGCGGTTGGTTCGGGCGCCGCGCGGTCCAGGTGAAACCAGCCGGGATCAATCGTCAGTAGCAACTGCGGACAAGAAAGGGCAACTGGGACGACGTCGCTGGCTCCCGTGGAAGTGGTTGCGAATGGTGAAGCCGCTGCGTCCTGCTGTAGTTGCGACAAGCCGAGTTCTAGCGAGCGTGGCAGATTCGTTTTAAGCCCACTTTCAGGCTCGTCAGTATATTCGTACAAAAGACAGTGTGTGAATGTTGTGCTCGGATCTCCGACGACAACGCGACAGTGGCTCGCGGCAAAAACCGCCGTTCCACTGCAAGACTCGTGCCAGCCTGTGATCGTGTTGACTAATTCCTCAGCGCGGATCTGGGACGCCGTCGCATCCAGAAAGTGCAGCACCCAGGTGCGGAACTCTTTTCTTTCCGAAGCTGAGGGCGGTGATGCGGTGGCTTGTGCGGAAAGCCGGTTGACGCGGTGTCGCACGCGAGCTGGGGTCATGACGCTTCGATACTTGGAAGCGTAGCGCAGGCCGGAACCAAGACTGCGTACCCGCGCTGTTGTGCCTTAAAAAATTGCCTGCGTGTTGCGAAAGCAGATCGCACAGATGGTGCTCCGGGGTTTGTGGCAGGCCAAGTAGCCACGCGACGCAACCGCGCGGGCAAAAGCTCCTCGCCGAGAGGGAGGGGGGGCGCGTGCAGGAAACACGCCGAGGCCTGCCAAAAAGTCGCGGTCCGCTCGCCCAAGAGCCGGGCGCCGCGCGAAGCGACCGGAAGCTTTGGCCAGCCCGCAGATGGAGGAAAGTGGGTTTCTTCATTCGTTCGCACGGTTCGCCGGGGCGGCGCCCTTCGCGTCCATTGGCATTGTGCCCCCCTGCGCCGGCTCCCGCCTTGGGGCGCGCGCCCCCTGCGGGGGGCCCGCGCGCGAGGCACCGCCTCGCTTAGTCAGTCGCTCAGGCTTGGGCGCACTTATCGTAGGCACGGCTTGGCGCCATCGGCTAGGACACGCGTCGGCGCACCGGGCGGCCCGCTGCGAAAGCGCCTCGTCGGGGCGCACTGCTCTGCGGGCGGGCCGGGGGGGGATTGAAATGCGCTCAAACGGCCTACCTATCGCGCACCGCGCTTCCTACGGAGCGACCGCCCTAGGCGCGGTTGTCGCGCATGCGGGGCGCGCCTAAGCCGTCGCGCTTCAGCCGGGGGGGGGGGGGCGCCGGCCGATCCGTGTTCTGGGTGTTCCCCTGGGGAGGGAGGCTGGCTATGCTGTCCCTGTGTTGGTACGGGTACGGGTACGGGTGCGGTGTGGCGAGTAGTGTAGCACCTAAAACTTGCGCCAAGTACGACTACTTGTGCTCGACAGACTCGGGCACCGCAGAGCAGTTAACCCTCCACCATAGCACTACACTAATAAGACTACTACTTCCCGATGCGTGTGTGCAGGGCGGGCCACAAAAAGCGGTCTTGTAGTGAAGTAACAGTCGAACTAGCGCGCCAAGTCTGAACACAGACTTTTTTCCTAAACCCTGTCTATTGTATTGGTAACTGAAAGAGGGCAGCCAGTGCACCTGCCATGTCCGTGGTCGTGAGCAGCTCAACGGTGGCCGGGGGAGGGCTCTTCTAGGGCAGTGTGGCTAGAAATGAAGATCAATTTTTCCGCGTTTTGCAAAATGTCACAAATATACCCAGAACAGTGATACAATAAGGGACGCAGAATAGCCATATTTTATTATGTCCGACGCGGCCGGTAGAATGGCACGCCGTCTGGTCCCGAAAAGAAGCAGCGCCCGGAGAGCGGGGCGAAGCGCAGTCGACCCTCGACTGAAGCGCGAGAACCCGAATAGCGGCACCAAAAGCCGCACGAGGGGGGGTTGGCACTATCGCCACCATCGCTCTGACAACAGGAAGAGGGGGCCGACCGAGGCCCACAAAAAGACAACCCCCACCACGCTCTTCCGGGCGGAGGAGAGATG